CTAGCTAATGTCACCAGCCATACTGTGTAAGCCCCCAAGCACTTTAATAATGAGTTTTGAGGGAAAACAGGATGACAGGATCAAGTTTCCATGTTATAGCACTGCTCTGCTGGCTCCATGGGGAATGCATTTTGTGGTGGTGGCTGAGCAAAGACTTGAAAACTAATCTTCATTCAGGAGTAAAGTGATGGGTGCAGATGCTAAAACGTGGGGAGAGAGAATGAAAAGGTGTGTAGTTCTGAGAGTTTAAGAAGGTGAGATGTACAGAATGTAGTAATCAATGAATTACGGAAGTGTTTTGTGGACTGTGACTCTCTTTAAGTTTCTGGCTTCAGCGTCTGCATAGAAGAAACAGGTTTAGGGAGAGACAGAAACAGAAGACAAATTAAAGTTGGACATATGATACGGAGAACTGGCAGCTGTGGGACTGCCCACATTCAGTAGGTGATTGCATGTGCGTGCCTGTAGCTCACGGGAGGGGTGGTGAGGGAAGCTGAGACCCTGAACCCGACCAGCAGCCTCAGTGATGAGAGGGATCACCACAGGGGTGGAAAGGTGGGAACTCTTGAACCTGTGAGTTATTAAAGATCAAGATAAGTTCATGAGGAGACAGTGAAGGGCAGTTTTGGATAGGAACTGCTAGATTGGAAGTGGACAGACAGACTTGCATGGTTTAGTGTTGCAGGTGGCATAGGTCACAGGCAGGCTCAGGAAAGAGGTACTCCAGGAATGTGGGTATTGCCTTGAAAGAATGGAAAGATGCTGGAGGCAAGTTTGACCCCTTCAGAATTTTCTCTGGAAGTATTTTTGGTCAGGGAAGAGATTAGAAATGCATGGGTTACACTTTTCTGTGATGGAGTTCATGCCTCCAGTTCTCAGAAGGCAGTGATCTAATTTGGTGGCCTTGGAGCAGTCCATTCAGAATGCCTGTTCATGCTTTTCAGTTCTTATCCCTTTGGCATCTCTATTTTTGTATATTTTTAATGTTATAGTATTATACAGTATATGCTTATAAGTTAGTATATGTGTATGATGGGGTGTGTATGCTCACAACTTTTCAAGTTGTACATAACCAAAATATTCTGGTGACTTAAGTCACTCAAGTATAGTTTGATCATAATGATCCCAGTATATAAACTTTAACACACCTCCCCACCTCCAGGCCAATGCTGGGGATTGAACCCAGGGCTTTTGCACTGCATTACAGGGCCTTTGAACTGAACTACATCCCCATCTCATTTTATCTTTTACTATATGTTGACGCAGTTCTTGCTAAATTGCCTAGACTGGGCCTTAATTTACAATCTTCCTGCCTCAGTCTCCTGAGTGGTTGAATTATAAGTGTATGCCCTTTTCTCTGTCTTTTAAGACTTGCATGTTATATTTTCTTCAATAGGATTTCTGACATTCCACTGTACCTTGGTTCACAAATGCTTCTGTTCACAAAAAATTTGGTTGTCAGACAAAAGCTTTCCACAGAATTTTACTTCCGTTCACAAACTGCACATTGGGTGACAAACACAACTTCTGCCATCTTCCCCACACAGACACAAATGCAGATGTGACCATCTTCCCCAAAACCATAAAACAGATTAAGTTCGTGAACTGAGGTACCGCTGTATCCTTTACTATAGGAATCAAGTTTCCGGAACTACTATTTTATAATACCAAACATGGTTATATTTTGTTATAGCTGACAATAGAACAACTCTGGTTCTGATACTCTGATCTCAGCAGCTTTGACTGTACAGATGGGAGTGGCTTAGACTGTGTGGCCAGAGTTCAGAGCTCCTGTTGTTACTTCAGACCCCCTGTTGTTACTTCAGACCCCGTGTCATATCCACATCTGGAGTCTGAGCAGACAATGGCCACATTTTGACAGCTGAAACTTGAGTGTGAAAGAGCATCACATCATGATGCTCTATTTAATGAAGCTAGCAGATTGGGTTTATTTTTGGTGATTTCATGTGTGCCCAGTAATCACAGAGTAGGAAATCAGACTTCTCTCATGAGAATGGCATTCATGAAAAATAACTGCAGGCTGCTCTAACAGATTTCCATAGACTGAGTCACTTATAAACAACAGAAATTTATTCCTCACAGTCCTGGCAGGTGGAAAGTTCAAGGTCGAGTCTCGGCAGATCCTGTGTCTTGCAAAGACACAGAATGACACCTTCACGCTGTGGCTCGTGGTGGGAATGGGCAAGAGAACTCTCTGAGGCCTCTTTTATAAGGACCCCACCCTCAGGACTGCGGCACCTTCCAAAGACCCTACCTCCCAAATCATCACATTAGGGGTTTTGTTTCAATGTAAGAATTTTGGGGTGGACAGAGACGTTCCAACCATAGCACGAATAACTCAGGGAGGTTATGGAGTAACTTACCCCCAGAATACTAGTGAGGACATTCTATTGTATTGTTTTTCTCACCAAATTTTACTAATCTAAAAATGTTATCATATATAAAGGATTTTAGTACATTTCATTTATTAAAGCAGGGATAATAGTCACCTCATAAAGTTTGGGGTTTACAGTCCCTCAGTCAAAAGGAGGGCTGATTAGCTGTGCAGCTGTGGGCATCATTTGCCTAAGGTTTTATTGTTTTGTTTGTAAGAAGACAGTAAAATCAGTCGTTATTTCAGACAGCTTTTGAAATGATTAAAGTCAGTGATGAGGATGCACTTGGTAAGTGGTACTGTAGTTGTGATTTAGAAAGGAAGGTTTGATTTGGGTTTGGTTGCATCACCTGTTGGTAATATTTCTCGTTACCCTTAAAGCACTCATCTTCCTTGCTTGTCTCATCCAGGACCATGGGCAGATAGAAAAATTTATTTTTGAGAAACATACCAAATTTTCTAGAAGGTGTTCTGTCTGTGTTAGACTGCGTTAGTGTTCTTAAAGTTCATGGCAAAATGCCAGCTTTGAAATATGGTCATCTGGCACATTGCTCTTTAGGTTTAGCACTTTAGGTATTCAAAAGTTCAACTTTTGTTAACTTTTTATCTTGCTCCTGAAAAGCATTACTGAAACAGATGGTTTTAGAGAATATTAGTACAGTATAAGGAGCCTCACATACAAGCTTTTTTTATCCTAGTTCTAGAAATTTTAGCCCTGTTACTTTCTCCTTTTGCTACAAAGCAATACACCAACACTATTTGGTTCAGATGCTCTCACTGAGTTGTGAATTGTTATACTTAAATTGCTTTTTATTAAGCACCAACAAAAGAAAACATTGAGAGAAGTGCTTTAGATTTTTTTCTCTTCTTAAACTTGCAGTTGAAGACATTGGTTATTCCTGCCAGAAAGAGCTTTGCTATGAATTTCTTAAAATTTGGGGCCAAGACCAAGGTTTTATGTCATACAACACATATGAAAAATTTACTTATATTCATGTAGTGCCTTACAGCTTGCAGAGTTCTGCTTTTGAAGTTTTTAATGCCTTCCTTTTTAATATTGAAATGCACATTAAATATGTACCTAGTTTAATGAGTACTTATAGAACTATCATTGCTTTCATTGTATAAAGTGAACATTGTTAGAACTTCAAAGCTCCCATGTTACCTTCTCTTTTTTAGCTGAAACCTTTTCCTTAAGGTAATTAACATCCTGACTTTTGCCATAATTGTCATCATCACTTTGCTTTTCTTCATAATTTTATATTGGTATACATACCCCCAAACACTGTAGCTTTGCCTGATTTTGAACTTTATAGAAATGATTGCAAAGCCTTTGAACTTTCAGTATTTCAACGTTATAGCCTAAAAATTGCAAATATTATCTTTCTTGCTTTAATATGGCAAATGCAGTCTGACAGAGGTTACATCAGACACCATTTTAAAGAAAGGCGCAGGTGAGATTCAGTCTTTCAGTCTTTTGACGTAAGTTCCATGTGTTTATCACGCTTTCTTTCCTGGGTTTGTCTGTTTATCTTTTCATGTTTGCTGCAGGAATCTAAGAGCTAGGTTAGTGCCCACTGCAGAGCCATCCAGTCTAGGTTTCTAGTAATGTCTTCCCTCTAAATGCCATAAAATGCTCTGTGTTTAATCTTTTTTCATTTTTCTTTTTGGGTAATTTTTTTTTTACTTTTCCTCTTCTGTGGCCTTTTAGGTTTCAGCTTTTAGTATTATATCTTGTCTCATCCTTAGAAATACAAACTGTGAACATCACGATTATAATTACTTCAACTGCCTTAGACTGGTCAGTTGGTTCTGATCCCCATGCATTGTTTTTAACATCTTTTTCATTAGAAAATTATATTAACCTTCTTTAAAACACAAATCAATGATAATGGTTTGAATATATATTTTGTGATTTTTTTTTTTAGACAAAGTGATTTTATGCTTTTGTTTACTGTTTATAATTTGTCTTCATCCATGTGATAAGGAAGTATGTTCCATCAGTTAGTTTGACCTTTATTCTGACTCAGAATTGCACATTATGGTTGATATAAAGAACCATAGCCTATGTAAGGATGTATTGAGAATTTATGGAATGGAATTCTCATTTGCTTAAAACAAACACAAACCCTAAAATAGCAAAGAAATTCTAAGTTGTCTTATTTCCATCTTAATTTTTGGAGAGATAGTCTGTATTCTATCATCAACATGTAACCTTTTGTTCTGAATATGTAACCTCAATGAGAATATGAACTTGTCATGTTTATATTTCAGTACCACCTTAAGTGTGGACTTAGACCTTTTTCAGATGATGGTTCAAATTAATAAAATAAAAATTAAAGGTTGCCAGTGAGGCACAGAGGTGCATACCTGTAATCTCATCATTCTGGGAGACTGAGGCAGGTGGATAAAAAGTTTAAACCCTGCTGGAGCAATTAAGAGACTTAGTAAGACTCTGTCTCAAAATAAAGGATTGGAGACATAGCTCAGTGTACAGGCCCTGGGTTCAATCCCCAGTGCTGTCAATTAAAAAAAAACAAAGTTGCCTTTTTTAAAAAGTTAACTCACTAAAACTTTGGACTACTTTTTAGAAAGAAAAGGAGAAGAAAAAGGAAGAGAAAAAGAGAGAAAAGGAGCCAGAAAAGCCTACAAAACCACTTACAACTGAAAAGGTAAAATTTCTTTTTAAAAATATATAAGATTATCATCTTATTTCTATATCATATTAATGACCTTCTGGATATTTATGCAGAATATGCAAATAATCATTTTTTCAACAAATGTTGTGTGAATACTCTATGTTCAGTATATCCTTCTAGCTTGGCCTATACAGGTTGTAATCAGTGGTAAATGTGTGGGTACAGATCATCTGAGTTCCTCAGGGATGGGTAATCTCAGAAATGACAAGAATGGTGTTATGAGCTTTCAGGCAAAATCAGATTTCAGTGGAAGTTTAGAGAATGAAGAAATCATACCTGAAGGATCTTTCAGAAAAGACCTCATGCTTCATTAACATTTGAGCTAGATCTTGAAAGGTAGGCAGGATTAAGGGAAAAGGCAGGAATGCATTAGTTTGAGAAAACAGCCTGAAGACAGGTAATGAAACTGGAAGTAAAGTATGTTTTCAAAACGATTTTGAAGAAAGGTATTTGTTTGGGTATGAGGAGTTGTGAAAAATAAGGACAAAATGGCAGATTAAATTCAAATTGTAGATGTTTATTCATTTTTGGAAGGAATGGCTATGGGCAACTCGTCACTTTTTAAAGCAGGTGATGCATCTAATTTAGGGTTTTTTTTTTTTTTGAAAATTATTGGCAGTAATATTTAGGATACATCTGATAGGCAAACCAAAGGTAAGGAGAACATCATACTTTTTGTAAAGGGACAAGTTATAAAATTATAGTAGATTGGTTTTTAATGCATTTCATCATGAAAGCATTGAAGCATCGTCAAAGAATTACCACAGTGTGCATGGTGGTGGATGGCTGTAATCGCAGCACTCTAGAGGCTGAGGCAAGAGGATTGCTGCGAGTTCGAGGCCATTCTGGAATACATAGTGAGACCCTGTCTCAAAAACCAACCAAACAATCATCAAAAAGTTACCATTCTTGGTTTTAGCTGTTGAAATTTTTAGAATCAACTTTCAAGGCGTACGTTATATACTCTAAAGTACATCCATTTTCAGTATATAACAAGCACATTCTGTACTTACTGTTTTTTTCTGTCATTTATTGGAATGATTTCTATCCTCAAAGAATTATGAATGTCCAAAGGATGCCCGCTATCACCACTCCTGTTCAATATAGTTCTGGAAACATTAGCCAAAGCAATTATAAAAGAGAAAGAAATAAAAGAAATAAAGATAGGAAAGGAAGAAGTTAAACTGTCATTATTTGCTGATGATGTGGTACTTTACATATAAGACCCAAAAAACTCGGCCAAAAGACTTCTAGACCTAATTGATAGATTCCGAAGAGTAGCTGAATATAAGATCAACACAAAAAACAATGGCCTTCTTATACCCAAATAGCAGACTCACTGAGAGAGAAATTAGGGAAACAATTCCTTTTACAGTAGTATCCAAAAATATGAAATATTTAGGAATCAGTCTAACAAAGGAAGCAAAAGACCTCTACATTGAAAACTATAGCACTCTGAAAAAGGAGATCGAGGAGAATATAAGAAAATGGAAAGACATCTCTTGTTCCTGGGTAGGAAGAACCAATATAGTGAAAATGGCCATACTTCCCAAACTACTATATAGATTTAATGCAATGCCGATTGAAATTCCAACCATGTATTTCACAGAACTAGAGAAAACAATCCAAAAATTCATTTGGAACCAGAAGAGATCTAGAATAGCAAAAGCCATTCTAGGCAACAGAGACATGGCTGGGGGTATCATAATCCCCAACTTGAAGCTATACTACAAAGCTACTGTGATAAAAAACAGCATGGTACTGGGAAAGGAACAGACCTGAGTATCAGTGGAGTAGATTAGAAGATGCAGAAACAATTCCAGACATACTCAGCCTCATCTTTGACAAAGGAGCCAACCACCCTCACTGGAGGAAAGATAGCCTATTTAATAAATGGTGTTGGAAAAACTGGATTTCAACCTGCCAAAGGTTAAAACTAGATCCATACCTATCACCATGCACTAAACTAAGATCAAAGTGGATTAAAGACCTAAATATTAAGACAGAAACACTAAACTTTCTGGAAGATAAGTTAGGTAGAACTCTTGAAGACATTGGCATAGGAAAAGACTTTATGAACAAAACCTCAGTAGCATGAGAACTAGCACAAAGAATCAACAACTGGGATCTCATCTTATTAAAAAGCTTCTGCACTGCAAGAGAGACCACCAACAGAGCTAAGAGATAACCTACTATGTGTGAAAAAAATTTTAGCAGCTGTTCCTCAGACAAAGATCTACTATCTAGAATATATAAAGAATTGAAAAAAATCAGACCCCCCAAATTCAAAGACCCAGTTCAAAAATGGACATCTGAAATGAACAGACATTTCTCAGAAAAAGAAGTAAAAGCAGCAAATAAACATATGAAAAAATGTTCAACATCACTCGTCATTCGAGAGGTGTGGATGAAAGTGGCACTGGGATTCCACCTCACCCCAGAAAGAGTGGCTGCTATCAAGAAATGAACAAATAACAAATGCTGGCGGGGTTGAGGGGAGAAAGGAACCCTTCTCCATTGTTGGTGGGAGTGCAGGCTGGTTGCAATCACTGTGGAAATCAGTATGGAGATACCTCAAAGAACTAGGGCTGGAGGTCCCATTTGACCCAGCTATTCCCCTGCTGGGCATCTTCTCCAAAGAATTAAAAGAATCATACTACAGCGATATATGTGCACCCATGTTTATGGCGGCACAGTTTGTAATAGGTAAAGCTTGGAAACAGCCCAAGTGCCCATCAACTGGAAACTGGATAAAGAAGATGTGGTTTTTCTATAAAATTGAGTAGTACTCAGACATAAAGAACGAGAAACTAGAGACATTTATAGCTAAATGGATGCATATTGAGGCCATACTCTTTTTTTAAAAAAATAACTTTATTATCAAACACACTCACATACAAAAATTAAAACCATTCAAAGAAGAACAGTGCAAGGGAAAAAAATTACAGTAATATTCAAATATAGTAGAACTCAACCAAAACAAAACTGAAAAGCACTTAAACATTTTTCCATATAACTTAAAAAAGCATCTCAACCACCAACAAGACACTAGAGGATGTTATTCGTTTCAGAAAAATCCCCAAAACCAACACTGAACAAATAGTGGCCTGGAAAAAAATTACAGTTAGCTCGCAGACTCCACATAAGCCAAGCTTCTGCCTAATTTAAATTTCAAGGCCATACTCTTAAGTGAAACAAATAGGACACACATGTGTAAATACCGAATAGTTTCTCTGGTGTGAGAAACTGAAAGTGTAAATAAGGATTAAAATGATTAAAATGAATAATTGATAATTTGAAATAGGAAAAGGTCCAAAGGTGTAGGGGTGGTGGGAGGGGAAGGGGAAAGGAAAGAAGGGAAAGGAAAGGAAAAATTACGAGAAAAGAAAAAAGATGGAAACAAAATCTATGTAAGTAGGGAAGGGTGGAGGGGGTGAAGGGCGCACAGGTAATGGGGAAAAAATAAGGACCAAGATACATCATGTTCGGGTACAAGCACCCAATGATAAATGTATTGTATACCTAAAATGTACCAATAAAAGAATTTTAAAAGTAGTAATAAAAAAATTAAAAAAAAAAGAATTATGAATGTCCAACATCAAAGACACACTAGGCATCTTAAGACTCTCCAGTCTTAGTGTAGCCATCAGAACTGTCCACCACCTGTCCTGGGCTCTGCTTCCTGGCTTCACACTCCCTCTGCACACCACGAGGCTTGTCCACTTACACCCAACTGTGTTTTCAATGTTCATTAACTTGTTTGGCCAAGAATATCTTCCTTTATTTCTTATCTAAAACTTCATTTTACCTTTTTCATGAAGTTCCTCTAACATTCAAACTAAATATACGTTCCCTTTTCCTCCAAATTCTGGTGATGTTTTTATATATTTGATTTTATTCTTACATGTATTATTGTATTTCTCTCAGTTTCGGATGGTGCTTAGGCTAAGTACATGTGCATTGATCTGTTGATTTTTGTCACTTCATAATTCTGTCAGTGTTGATTCCAAGGTCATGCAGAAAGATTAATAGATCATTATTTCTTACTAAGTAATATGAAATACTAAAGACCACAGAATTGTTCTGCTATGTGGAATTCTTTAAAATATTAAAAAAATACTTTTCAGTTAAATTTCTTTGAATATCACTATCATAGTGACAATTTATTGGATTAAATTCTTTTTCTCAAATTAAACTTAGGTGTTACATATTTTAAAATATTTTTTAAAAGGCATGATTAAATTGGTGTTTATAACCTGATGACTTGACTAGCTTTAATTCTGTTCTGGTAACTTTCTCTTTAATTTGTATCAGTAAGAAACTACAAGTGAAATGTCTTAATTTCCATTTGATTACAAAAGAATTTTTTTGGTTTTTTTTGGTACCGGGGCTCGAACTCGGGACCTTGTGCTTGTGAGGCAGGTGGTGGAACCACTGAGCTAAATTCCTGGCCCCTACAAAAGAATTTTTAAATGATCACATTTTATCTTTTTGTTTCTAAAAATTGGAAATTTCAAAATAGTTTATAATAATAATGCCTTATTATTATACTTGACTATGAAGCTTATTCACTTTTAAAACATCATATATTTTCCCCGTAAAAAAAGATATTTCCCCTTTAAACTATAGTAAGCGTTTGATGTAGTGATTTGTTTTTTGTAGCTTTGCATGCAAATAATTTCCTTTTGTTACCCACTGTGAAAATGGGCCACAGCTGTTAGCTCAGAATGGGTTTGTATTGGGGTCCTTAGACAAGCGAGACAGTATATGTGAACAGTACAGAGTCTCTCACTTCTGCACTGTCTTGCTTCCCGCAGTAGGTTTGATTAAACCCAGTTCACACCTCATATATTACTCTTCAGGATTCTTGCTGCCCACAGTGAGGTCTTTGCTGAGAGAAAAATCATGTAAAACTAGTTCCTGTCAAAATTTTGCAGTCAAAATGTTGCAGAATATATAAGAAAGAAGATACA